CCATCTGGAAAGAAGGAACAACTGGACCGCGACGCTTTCGCTCTTTCCACCGCAGTAAACCTGTCCGCCCTCCGACGAGGCTCAATTATCCAGCGCTCAGCTCTCAACTACTCACCTTCAGATCAAGTAAGAACCGGTTCAATTCATTCCTGGAAAAAGAAACACACTCCTTCCTCCACTAATCCTCTGCCTCTCGTTGACAGTAAGACGACCCGGTCATCCGCTCCAGTACTCACTCCCTTCCCCTTCCCCTGGAATCAATAAACTCATTATTGTTTATTTACTCTGACTCATCTGATTGTGTTCCTGCATGTGGGTTCGTAGAGTGAACACCATCATGACACTCTGCCGCAGACTGCATATTGGTTGATCATGCAAAAAGAGCCGCTGCTAAGTCAGCGGAGCGTCCTGCTGCGCATCGCGGTAGAGAAGCAGCAGGTGACAGCGCAGAATTTAACAGTAACTAAACAGAATCGGTTCATAATAAGTTTGGGTTGTGATGCACAAACCAAAAGCATCGTTGTGTCACTGGTCAGTGTGATAATTTGACTCCTATCTGTGCAGCTGTCCAGCATATGCGATCATCAGTCGTAGGTGTTCGAGGGGAAAAAAAGTCACACCTGACTTTGTGCAACTTTTCAGACTTTAATCCGCTGCTGACTATGAAGTCTGGGATGATGTTCTGTTTCTTGTACATTTATTCCTGCATAAAGGGCTTTTCTGTCAATATTTGCTGTGAATATAATACAGCCTGTCAGTTGATGTGAAGTTCGCTTACGTTTCTGTGACATCACTGCGAGGTGTCGACTTCTACTCGACTTTTATCGTTTTATAGTCCACCTTAAAATATATGAAGTCTATCAACCCCTAATATGTATATACATAATATACAGCATCATTGCTTTGTACACGAGGGAGATGACAAAAATGTGAGGCTAACTTGAGGAAAAACAAACTTTTAAGAAAGGGATTAACGTGGTTCTATTTTAGGTTAAGGAAGAGTTGACACTAGTTTTTCCTATGTATAGTCACTTTCAGCGGCATCCTGGATTGGTGGCAAACACCTTGCAGTCAGTCAGTCACAGGATTTTTTTTTTATTATTTTTTACCAGCAGTGCAGAGTGAGCAAACTCTGGGAAGAACCGACCTGAACAGCAAGATAAATCCCACATTCTTCCTGCTGTGAGGTTGTATTACTGACGCAGGAGTATGTCACCAGGGGATTTATTAACAGCAACATGGAGTTACTGACTATATTCAGAGTTTTTGTCTTATTAAATTTGCACTTCAAACACAATAAATCCAATAAGCCTATTTAAGGCTTGCACAATTACGAGTAGAGGTGCACCAGAAAAAAAATGTACAAGTTTACTGAAGGTAAAAATAAAGTTTCATTCTTTCCTGACGTGACCTAAACTCAGGACTTGCTTATATATTAAACTTGCTTCTATCCTGATTTTGTGTCAGGGCCTTCAGCACAGATGATGTGCTAACAGCATGACACAATAGAAGGGCAGAGGGGGTCACTGAACAGATCAGCAGATCTGTAGATTCCTCTGTTGCTCTTCTGTGAGACATGAGTTTAAATCTGGTTTGTAAAATCTTTACAAGTTACTGAATGTCAGCAGCGGGCACACTTCTGCTAATTTGATAAAGCGCTAATCGGGGAAATAATTTTTTTGCTTAGTACTGTAGTGGTTCTGCTAACTTTAGCAGTTTTACTAACTTTCCCGAAACAGCTAATTTACTTGGCTGTTTTGTAAACTTTCATTGAACACAGCTCAATGTCTTGAAGTTTTGGTTATCACTTCCTGAACTGTACAGGCAATAAATGTGTTTTTTTTTTAATTCAAAATATTTTAGTTTTTACGTTTTGCACATTAACTGACAGAATGAAAAAGAAATAATAAAGTTCTACAAGAAAATCAATAAGACAGAAATATATAATAACGAATAGAAAATAAAATGAAACAAACCTGTCACTGCCAATGTTACAGAAGAGGATTAGGCCCACTGAAGAAAAAAATAAGAATTCTGGCTTTATTCTCAGATTTCTGACTTTTTGTATGTGGGTATATATCACATATCATACAGTACAGGAAAATAATTTTGTGATTCTGATAATAAACAGGTCTCATCTTTTCCAACATTGTACCACTAATGGTTTTGTACATCAATTGGTATTAGTTAAATGGTGAAGGGGACCCCAGTCAGAACAACTGGGGATCAGTGGCTGTATGTGCAAGTCATCCTTTTTCCCAAATATCATACATAAACAAATCTCACCTTAATTTCATAAACGTTTCTCTCTTTTGTTGAACTAAAATTTATTGACACACCAATCATATCGGTAGCTATATCTGTAATATAGCCCCTGCTTCACTTCTGCAGAAAACATTCAAATAGACGAACAATAAAAGAAAACACAACAACCCCATCAGGGACAATTCCAGCAATCAACAGCTGTTTACACATTTTACTAATCTTTTGCAATGTAACATTGTTTATTCCTTCATCAATGTAAATTAAAAACATGCTAAAAGCTAGCTGTAACGTTTTGCTTTATTTACTGTTATCCATCTTGTTTTACTCACATTTTGTGTTTTTATTAATGAAATTGCATCTTTGGACCCCTAAGCCACATAAAAGCTGACTTAAATCCAACATGTTCCTACAAAAGAGGCTGCAGCTGGTAGCACTGTTGCCTTAAAGCAAGAAGGTCCTGGGTTCGATTCCCGGCCCAGGGTCTTTCTGCATGGAGTTTGCATGTTTTCCCTGTGCATGTGTGGGTAAGAACCTACGCATGCACAGGGACCTCTCTGGAGTACCTGGAAAGATCCGGGTACTCCAGAGAGATCGCCAATCTGCTTCTCTGCATACTGGCAACCTGTCCAGGGTGTATCCCGCCTCTCGCCTGAAAAATTTGCTGGAGATAGGCACCAGCACCCCTCCTGACCCCACGAGGGACAAGGGTGTAAGAAAGTGGATGAATGGATGTTCCTCCAGAAAGTTTGTTGTCCTCCAGCAAAATTACCATCTTGGTCATTGAAAACTGGTTCCCCCAGCTGCCCATATACAATAAAGTCAGAATTCTTTTTTTTTTTCTTTTTTTTTAGTGGCACTAATCCTCTTCCGTACAAAATTATATTTTTGCTACATCCAACCAAAGACCTGCCTTATATAGAATTGCAGTTACATTAATACAGGTTTCAACTATCTAATGCTTTGTGCTGGTCTGTTACATAAACCAACAATTAACTGAAAAAATATGTTTGACAAAATTTAAGAAAAAAAAAAAAGGTTTGGGGATATGTAAGGCTACGCAAAATAAAAATAAAATATTGTCAAAGTGGTTCTGTTAAGAATGACTAACATTTGTGTTCAGATGGTTCTCGTGGTCCGTGAAAAAGACACCCAGTTGGTGAAAAAGTGTGACTCCTGCCTGTTGACTGGTCATCATGTTGGCCCTGGGCTGCAGGTGCAGGGTTGCTGCCTCATTTTCAATAAGCTTTCAGACCACTGTTCTTATCTGAAGCCCTGGCTTCACTGTCACCTCTCATCAGGTGTTGGATGAGAGCAGAGGACAGTTTTCACTACGCCACATTGACTTGTCCAGGCCTGTGAAACCCAGCAGCAGCCCCACATTAGCATGTTAGCATGCATTGGGTTAATTATAGTGCCACAAAATGCTACGCTTACTATGTTAAAAACTCATTAGAACCCAGTTTTGTTAGTCATTCAGGTAGCAAGACAGTAAGCAGCACTTAAGTCCTTATGATCCTTGGTGGATCCTGCTTCAGATTAAAGTGACAGACAAAACAGGAGGATTTGATGTTTTTTGCTTGCATTAAGCTCCTCTTTGTCCAAACCAAATCAAAAGGTATTGAGCGTTAAATACGCTCAATGCGAGTGTGAAATCAAACAGTTTAAACTATGCATGGTTTATTTGTTCCTCTCTCTTCAAGTGCTTTTGCTTTAACAAGCTGAAGAGATAAGATGTGCCAAGTATACTTAGAGTGTTATTTATGGACACGGTGGGAACAGAGCTTCCAGAAAATCAGCAGTGCTTCACAGGCTTTCAGAAAAAGGAACTTTTGATTGGAGTTTCTCGGGTGCATTTGCTCCCTCCCTCCTCCCCATAGCGTCTGCTGAGCGACTCATCTGTTCCTAATATTGCATAATTTTGGAAACCTCTGGAGCTAATGCATTACGCTAGCCTATCTGAAAAATTGCAAAGGGCTTTGTGAGAGATCTGCAGGAGAGGAGTCAGTACAGATCGTGTTTTAGGCAAAACAAATAGTGACTGAGCTTAATCATTACTTGAGCAAGTGAGCTCTGAGGAGATTTGGAACATTCTGCCACATGATATAGTCTTGTAAAAGAAGAAAAATAAATCACAGCTGTCTACCTGCTTAAGCTTTCTCACGTTTTGTTAAATTATATCTAAGAGGTTCAATGTCTTGTAATGGACTTCTGTTGCAAGCTAAGGTACATATATTTTTATTTTTCATCTTCATATCTATATTTTACTTCATTATTTTATATTTGCACCATTATCCAGGGCCATGCAG